TCTTTTTTTTTTTTTTTCATCAAGCAAAGATTAATATTAAAAGTTTTATTTGATACCAAGCCTTTCAACATTAAATTTTTAATTTTGTCAAACAATCGATCGATCGGGAGAATGACCGGAAAGATGACCAGGTGGTCAACCGGCCTAATGTAAATTTTTTTTTATTTTTTTTTCAATCCGGTCATCCATCCGATTGTCTGACTGGTCTTCCATTCACACAAACATATTGAATTTGTTCGACAGAAACACTCCGGACAAAATGTTAATGTTTGACAGACCAGTGTCGAACGATTCGTAAAATCAAACTTCCATATATAATGCCACTGGTTCGCAAAATCAAACTTCCCTATACAATGCCACTGGTTTGCAAAATCAAACATTCATATACAATACTAATGGCAATGGAAAAACGTACATAAAACCCTCAAATCTAAGCAAAATGAGATTTCTTACCTACTGTATCTCCGATGTGGAGTTGTTTCCACCAATGTCTTTGATGAAACAGAGAATAGGTCTTCACCACTGGCATCTTTGATGAAATAGAGAATGAAGGGGAAGTTCATGGATGGGGTGTGTGAGTAAGTGAGGGTGAATATGGAAGATGCGGGTAGAGTGTGTGAGTAAGGGTAAAGATGGAAAATTGTGGTGTGTATTGAACAAATAAAGCAACTATTGGAAAAGGCATTGTATGATCTGTGGGCATGATAGTATCGCTATCCCCAGCTAGCTTAAGGTGAACATCGGCTGGGATAGAGAATTCCTGCCTAAAGTATTCTAGTTTTGTTGGGGTATTTACCCTATGCCTCCACATACCCATCACGTCAACTTAGCAAAAGAGGAATATGTTTCAGAAGATGGGCGTTTAGAGAAGGGTTGCAAGAACCTCGGCAAAGAGCTAGGAATGGACTGATAAGGCTTGTTTCAGTTTTCCCTAAGAAATTGAGGGTTCTACACACAAATCCCAAGCTAAGGAACTATAAAGAACAAAATCGAAGGCACAGATTTGGGACAGATACGAAAAACAGAAAATAGAGACATAGTTTCAGAATTAAGAACAGTGGCAAGAAAAATGGTAAAATAGTACAAAAGTTCAAGATATAGCCACAATCCAGGATACAAGTAAATCCAAGGCTTCGAACAAAAGCAACAATGACAACAGACAGACGAAAGCTCATGAAAAAATTTTAGAGTGAAAGGTAAGAATCTTACCAGAACAAATGAAGCCGAGGCAATGTTCGCCGAACCCAGAAATCGGTCGCAACAGTGGAGAAAGCTTCGCAAGAATGGGAGATTAAGAACAGTTCCAGAAGAGAGATCGAAGCAATGGCAGATCCGAAGAGGAAAGAGTTTTCAGAGAGAGAAAGAGCAAGAAGTCAGAATGAAAAAGTGAAGGAAAAATAGAGGCAAAGAAAAGTTTTGTCAAAAATTTGAAACGGCGGCAAAATTAGGGCAATTATTATGCTGAGATAGTGCTATTTTGGAAATGGTATGGCTACAGAGGTTGAGCCTGATGAGGTGAGGTACAATGTTTTAGAAATTGAACAAATTTGATGTCATGTTACAAAGTTTTGATGCTTAGTTAGGAGATATCTTTCCCTTGAAGGGTCTTTTGAGGCACTAATCTCCAACGAAGGAGGCTTTTTTGGCATGATCCGTGGCACATGGCAAGAGCTTAAGAATGGATTATTTGATAAGAATAGGAAATATATTTCCCCAACTTCTGTTGTATGATCAAAGAGGCATGGAGTCAGTGGATTATCTTCTCATCCACTGTAGGGTGGCTAGGATGGTATGGTTTTTGTTATGAGATTGATTGTCTTTCCTTGGGTTTACTGAAATACTGTTTTAGACTTCCTCAAATACTCTGTGAAATATTGGATCACATTTGCCTTGTATATGTTGGTATGCAAATAAAATAAATTAGGTGAAGATAAAGAACTGATATGTAGATTAAGAAGAGTTATTTTTATTTTTTTTAAAATTTTTATTTATTATTCTTTTACATGGTTGGGTCATGGAGAGCTTTTGCGATTTTGTGATAACAAGGATACATTGGTATGGATTTTCATTATTTTTATTTTCTATATGTTGTGTATACTTGGGACAACATCTCCTTTTGGTGCCTTCAATAATGAAATGGCTTGTAAAATAAAGAAAAAATGTTCTTGTCAGATCATAGGTCTATATCCAACCAAGTCTGACTTGCAACCTTAATTTTTAATTAAGGACTTTATTGTAATAGTGAGTTTAATTCTCTTTGTTGCATTTTGTTTAATGGATCATGTGTAATATTTAGGTGAACTTGTGTTGGTATACTAAGTTTTTGCCAAGAAATTGATTGCTTTTCTTGTTAGGATATTGGGGTATGTATCTCATTGGTTTCCAATTGGGCAGCTATCTGTTTTTTGGTAACTCTGACCAAGTGTTGAGATCCAATAAATGAGCAATGATTCTATCTCTTTTGTTGTGGTATATATCTTTATCATTGGAGTCTTTGTCATCTCATTATCTTTTGCTGTCATGTTAATTGATCTTTATTTTTATTTTTTCTAAATGAGACATGTTATTAACTATGCTTCTGGACAGGGATGTGGAAAGAGTTTCACGCAGAATGGTAGGGCATATTGCTCTGTTTACTTTTGTAATAAATGGACCATTTTTTTGAGAACGATGTTATTCTTTGGAAGCAAAGAAAAAAAACTTTTTCAAAACTTCCCCCCCCCCCAAAAAAAAAAAAGAAAAGAAGAAAAACTCAATTCTCATTTATAAATATAAAATTTTATTAAAACTAATAGACAATTCTATTGCAGTGCAATGCAATGCAGCTTATGTTACTTTTGTATTAGCTCAAAATCTCCAGGTTATTCTCATTTTTTCTTTCTGCTAATAACTTCTCAAATATGATGGTTTTATCTGTTCTGCAACTTGTTGAGAAACAAGCATATTTGATGGTTTTGCCTTTGTTGACTTGTATATCCGGTGTCAATGATTCATTGTGTTTGTTTGTTTATCTAGAAGCTAATTTGACTGATTGGGATTGCTTTCCATTGCATGTTATTAGCCTTTTGGTTTTTATATTTGAATATATGTTGAATTAATCATTGAAATAAAATTCTTATGAAGTAATAAACCTTAGAATTATTATTCTTAATTAGTTTTTTGGTGAAAGTTTAATGCCCTAAACCTCTCTATTATAAATTTATAGATTTTATTTATAGAAGTCAATGTTTAGGTGAGAAGCAATAAGGCTTTATGATGCTGGACAACCGGCGAGAATAGAACAACTAAAAGAAAATAAAAGAAAGGCCATACAAAATAAAAGAAGGAAAAAGATTGAGATCTACAATTTACCCACAATGATTGGCAAGTTATGTGTCAATTTTTCAATGAATAAATAAGTCCCAAATTATGCTATGAAATTCGTCCGTGGGATATTAACCAAGTATGTCCATTTTGATTTTCTATACTTTGAGTTCTAGCTATTAAAATATCTTTTCATTTTCCAAGTCTGTTACATGTAAGTTGAAATGCCGACCGTTTGCTCGCTTATGGTGGGATGAATTTGTATCAACAGTAGGGACAAGAGCAGAACCTCACAAACGGGTTTTAACACTTACTCTCTTTCTCGAGCATTGTATAATTAATCTCTTGATCAAAAAATCGACCAACTTGAGATTTAAATTATTTTGTTTTTGTAGGCTATGCTTCATCTGGAGCAAGACTGGGTATTGACAGTCCGTGAAAACGCAAGGTTACAAGGGTTCCCTGACTAGTACAAATTTTGGGGGCCTGTTAAGGAAAGGTATCAATAGCAAGTCTTTTTTACTTTTTGCAAGTTTAATTAATTCAGACACAAGAATTGCTTTGGTAATAATTCTATTTAAATTTGGTTGGGTTTATACTCAACTCTTAAGTGCTTTTGTGTACTGAAGGCTAGGAGGGTAATAAAGTTCGAGTGCTGTTAATAGTTCTCGCCATTTTTCTTTGGACTCCACCTAAATTTTTTGAATGTTATTTTTTTGAACACACACTTTAATTCTAATTCTACTCTTTCCTAATAATTATCAATATTAAGAGATGAGGGTCCAAAAGAAAAAAGGTCTGAGGCAAATAGAAGCACTCTAAATTGTTTCCTTGGTGTCTAATATTTGTCTATTTCCATCTAATTTGTAGGTATATACAAGTAGGGAATGCTGTTGCATTTCCAGTATCCATGGCATTCGGAAGTATGTTGGCAAACGGAAGCCAAGGAGTCTCAAATAATGAACCCTTGACAACAACTGATCTGAAATTCCCTCCGAGTCTTGCACAATTGTCTACGTGAATAGCATTGGATTAATTATCCATTCTTAAAGTGAGTTCAATCTTGGAAAAATTCTTTCTTAACAATCTTCTTGAAGAAAATTTTAAACTCACATTGAGTAGTAGACCATTCTTAAAAACCATATATGGTCATTGTAGCTTGTAATTCAAATTTCCATTTTCTTCTTGTATTATCTTGAAAAATATCTGGTTAAGTACATTGAAAGATATGTAACCTTAAGTTAACTTCTTTTCAATAGAGTCCAGCTTCCTAACATCAATTTTCTATCAAAACTAATGATTTATAGTGCTTGTTTTTTTTTTTTTTTTTAAATGGATGTCAACTTAATAGTACTAGTTTAAAGTACTATTTTTAATGGTCTCTATTTCCCTGAGCAAATGAGGGATTATAGAACAATAAAAAATATATGAAGCCAGACTTATTTTTAGCTTTTTCTTTTGGGCCTAGACCCATTTATGTTTGCAGAGTACTGGTGGACCGGGCACTGGAAGTGATATTGGGCTGTTTGCGAGGTTCTGTTGTGGGCCCTTTCTCGATCCATATTTCCTCACACGACCCATCATGCTGATTGATGATTATGGCCCAACCCAAAATACTATGGTGGACCTCGGCTTATCCATGGCAATCTGTTCCCTCTAATGCTGTCAAATGGACTGTTTCGTTCTAGGTCACTTCATCCACAATCTCGAGTGAGTGCTTTTATTTATATGCATAGTTAAACAAGTATGCTGACTGAAGTTATGTATATTGATTGATCCATCAATGTCTAATTGTGTTCTTGCTGGGAAATTAGGATCCAGTGTGTGTTTATACTTTTATGCATAGTTGAACAAGTAAGGTGACCGACGGAACTTGTTTTGATTGATCTATCATTGCCTAGTTATGTTCTTGACTTCTTGCTGGGGGATTAGGATACTTTTCAATATGCTTTCATGTGAATTATGTGGTGATATCGTGGCGTTGTGTATATAAAGCATTTTGGTTTTTGCACTCTAATAATGCCATTATCTATAAATTACTTTGTTGATCGAGTTCTCTTTGTATGGCCTTGGACTGTCAAAATTTTCCCCGTCTATCATGTTATGTATAGAAAAATTCACAGATATTTTAATGTGACATATTATAAAAAAATGTTTCATATGTGGTGCACCCACTTAATTGTGTTTGTATTATGAAGCTACAATTTTCAAATTTAGTGTTGAGGTTTGAAAGTTCTGAAATATCCTTTTTCACATATGATTTTGTCATTAGAAAGCATCTTTAGGTTGGAAGAGAAAATTTAGCTCTTGTTAAAATAATTGGAGTGGGCTCTACCAATAATTAGTTAAATGAATGTAGTAAATTTAAGAGAATACCCCCAAACATGCTAGATAAAAGAATATTAAGAACAAACGATGTTAAAAGGCCCCAAACATGCTAGGTAAAATTGTAAAACACAAGACTTAAAAGGCTCGTTCAGGAGTCGAAATTGCGAAATGACCACCGAAATCACTAAAACATGGCACAGACAGCTTGTTCAAGTCTAAATAGACTTGTAGGAACAAACAGGACCTCAATTGGATCTCCGGTTAAAAAATTAGAAGGAAAATTGTAAAACACAAGACTTAAAAGGCCCGTTCGGGGGCCGAAATTTCGAAATGACCACCAAAACCATCGAAAACTTGGCATGGACAGCTTTTTCAAGCCTAAATAGACTTGTAGGAACAAACGAGACCTCGATTGGATTTCCGGTTAAAAAATTAGAAGGAAAAATGTAAAAGAAAAGACTTAAAAGGCCCGTTCGGAGGCCGAAATTTCAAAATGACCACTGAAACCACCGAAACTTGGCACAGACAGCCTTTTCAAGCCTAAATAGACTTGTAAGAACAAACGGGACCTCTATTGGATCTCCGGTTAGAAAATTAGAAGGAAAATTGTAAAACACAAGACTTAAAAGGCCCGTTCGGGGGCCGAAATTGCGAAATGACCACCAAAACCACCAAAACTTGGCACAGACAGCTTGTTCAAACTTAAATAGCCTTGTAGGAACAAACAGGACGTCGATTGGATTTCCGGTTAGAAAATTACAAGAAAAAATGTAAAACACAAGACTTAAAAGGCCCGTTTGGGGGCCGAAAGTGCGAAATGACCACCAAAACCACCGAAACTTGGCACAGACAGCTTTTTCAAGCCGAAATAGACTTGTAGGAACAAATAGGACCTTGATTGGATCTCCGGTTAGAAAATTAGAAAGAAAATTGTAAAACACAAAATTTAAAGGCCCGTTCGGGGGCTGAAATTTCGAAATTACCACTGAAACCACCAAAACTTGGCACGGATAGCTTGTTCAAGCCTAAATAGACTTGTAGGAACAAACGGGACCTCGATTGGATTTCCAGTTAAAAAATTAGAAGGAAAAATGTAAAACACAAGACTTAAAAGGCCCGTTTGGGAGCCGAAATTTCGAAATGACTGCTGAAACCACCGAAACTTGGCACAGACAACCTTTTCAAGCCTAAATAGACTTGTAGGAACAAACGGGACCTCTATTGGATCTCCGGTTAGAAAATTAGAAGGAAAATTGTAAAACATAAGACTTAAAAGGCCTGTTCGGGGGCTGAAATTGTGAAATGACCACCGAAACCACCAAAACTTGGCATGGACAGCTTGTTCATACCTAAATAGACTTGTAGGAACAAACGGGACCTCGATTGGATTTCTGGTTAGAAAATTACAAGAAAAAATGTAAAACACAAGACTTAAAAGGCCCGTTCGAGGGCCGAAATTGCAAAATGACTACTGAAACCACCGAAACTTGGCATGGACAACTTGTTCAAGCCTAAATAGACTTGTATGAGCAAACAACACCCGATTGGACTTCCCGTTACAAAATTAAAATCAAAATTGTGAAATTCATATCGAGGTTTTTTTTTTTTTTGGTCAATCTAATATTGTTTTTTCTTTTTTCATGTGACAAATTGGCAATGGTGGAAAACAGTTCGGGCTACATCAGAAGATTTAATTTTGTGTTTTTAGAAATATTTTGATATAGGATTTTGGTAAATGATTTACGGATTAAATGTTTAGCATCAAAATATTTGGTTTTATATTTTAAAAAATATTTTGACATAGGATTTGGTAATGTATTTATGGGTTTAATGTTAATAGTTTGTAAGTACTTTGGTATGCATGTTTTAGATTGTCAGAGAATTGTAATTTTGTTTATTGGGATTTTTCATAGCTATTAATTTTGAATTAGTATGAATGTCTTGCACAAGTGTATTATTATTTACATTACATTTGTGTATATATTGTGCACAGAAAAAAGGTGTTCTGAATTATTTTCAACAGGAAAATTATTAAAATCAAAATTTGTACACTGAATTTTTAGTGACAGGTGATATTTTGGTCACTGTTAATATATTTAGCAACAACATATTGTTTTTGTCGCTAAAAGTTAGTGGTTATTCCAAGAACTTTTAGCAACCAAAACTTACTCGTCGCTAAAAATGTAATTTTTAGCGACCAAATTAATTTTGTCGTTAAATAGTACTTTTGGCAACGCATTTATTTGTCGCTAAAACTACATAGCCTATCCAAATTTTAACCTTTTAGCGACAAATTGTAATTTTATAGCGACAAAATATATGATTTTTGGTGACCAATTTTGCTTGTCGCTAAATGTCTACATGCGGTGACAATTTTTGATTTTGTCGCCAATACTTTTAGTGACAGGACTTTGGCGACAAATTGTATATTTGTCGACGATTCTTTTGGCGACGAAATTTGTACTTTTGGCGACCAATTTTTGGGTCGCCAAATGTGTTTTTTGTTGTAGTGACTAAAAATAAAATTTATGAACTAACTTAATTTGGTCTTAAGTAATTTTTTCAGATGCAAATATAATTTAATAATAGACATATTTTAAGAATAAATATATAATTTCATAATTGAAGTTTTAAAATATCTATATAATAAGGCACAAAGATTTTTAAAAATATATTAGAGACAATTGTCCTACTAGAACATTTCCATGATTATGATTCATTTGTCTATTTAAATAAATGGCTGAGATAACTCCTTAAATATATATCAATATATATCTGCACTTACTTTCCGCCCAAAGACTGAGCTTCCTACTTACCCACGTCTTCTCACCTTCCCGCTTGCCCACGTCTCCTCTCCCTTTATCTTTATCCCTCTTCCTTTTCTGTTCTCACCCACCCCATTTCCTCTTTATCTCTTTGTGATCTGCAAGCTATGGAACTCTCTCAAGCTCTGTAACGAAACGATCTGAGCTCTCTAACACAGGTATGTAAATATCTCTCTCTCTCTCTCTCTCTCCTCTCTCTCTCTGTAATTGGTCATCCCTCTCCCTTCTCTGTTCTCACCCATCATATTCCCTCTTTATCTCTACTCTCTCAAGCTCTGTAACGATCTGCAATCTATCAAACGATCTGAGCTCTCCAACACATGTATGTAAGTATCTCTCTCTGTCCTCTCTCTCTCTCTCTCTGCCTAATACTGATTTTGTCGATTTGATGTTACTGGTTAGCGGATTTGCACTTGTGGTTTGCTTCCAATTTGAAAGATTGTTTGATATCCTATATTCCCAATTTATACTGCTGAGTTGTTAGTGTTTGGGTTGTCAGGGTAGTAGTAGTAGTATTCATTAAATGTTCTTTTATCTCTCAATGCATGTCATTGGTTTCTATGCAGTGTGTGTGTGATTTTCCCTTCTTTATTTGGTAAGCATTTCTATATCCAAAAACTATGCTCTTTTTTTGTTTCTATATCCAAAAATTTAATGATGAGCTTATCTGAGAAGTTTGACCCAAAATTATCCAAACCCGATAGCAGAATGGTTTTGTTTGGATCACAATTAAAGACACAAATCCTTCCTCTGCACCCTCTCTGTTTTTCTTTTCCCACTGAATTTCTAAATCACTGGTTTATATGTATATCAAAATGAGGAATTTTCAGTTGGGTTTCTCCTTCGGGTTATCGCTATCTTTCAGGAAGAAGAAATCTCAATTTGGGTCTGCAAATTACGGCCTACAAAACTCAAACATTCCTAGATTGGGTCTCTCTTTGCAATGAAATGGAGTTTTTGGGGTATTATATTTGAGTGCCTGAATATGAGGACAACCCATATATTGGAGAGTTGCTTTATTCAGAGTTGTTGTGATGTTTTGAGGTTCTCTGTTGCAAAAAAAGAAAAATGGGTTTTGTGCCATTTTCTTTATTTTCACAGAAGAGATAATGGAGAAGACATGGGAGTAAAGTCCCTTATCATATTTGTAACTATTCTAAAATAAAACATTTGCTTTTTCATATGTTTGTTTTGAAGTGTATGAGGAAAGAAGCACCACCACCTTTTTTAAATTTTCTAATTTTAATTAACTGTGTTTTTTTGTAGTTTTATCTATGATTTGTTGTGATGTTTCAGTTCTTTTGGTGTTTTCAGTTCAATTTTATTTGGATAATCATTCTCTTTCTCAATTTGGTTTATTTCCTATCTTTGTTGATGTTGTATGGCGACTGTGGTTTTAGTAATTGAGAGTGCAGAAGGCTGAGTCTAACATTGTGCTTAATTTGTCACCTGAAAACAGCCAGAATGGAAAGTTCAGCTATGGTTATGCAAGCTCTCCTGGAAAAAGGTCTACAATGGAAGATTTTTATGAGACAAGAATCGATGGTGTGGATGGAGAGATAGTTGGTCTCTTTGAAGTTTTTGATGGTGTGTATTTCTCTTTCTCTCTGCCATCCACATAACCTTTGGTTTCCTTGAAGAAATAATGTTATTGATGCATAGTAGACTATGTTTGCTATATGTGAATAATTATAAGTTATATTTGATATTGAAGTACTGATAAAGGATTCTACATACAGTTCCTCATGCAAATATGTCTCTATCTCTGTTCGTCTGTTGTCTGTTCTCTCTTTCTCTCTCAATGATTGAATAAATGGATTACTTTTATAAAAAAAATGTTTCTGGTGGTTGCATAAGCATTCACCTATTGGCTTGTGATCAATTTAAATACTGCATCGGTTCAGGAGTTTTTGTTGATGTTGTATGGCGACTGTGGTTTTAGTAATTGAAGGAATTTATACTTCTTTGCAATGTTATAGTTCTTTCCGAAAAATGAGAGTGCAGAAGACTGAGTCTAACATTGTGCTTAATTTGTCACCTGAAGATAGTCAGAATGGAAAGTTCAGCTATGGTTATGCAAGCCTGGAAAAAGGTCTATAATGGAAGATTTTTAAGAGACAAGAATTGATGGTGTGGATGGAGAGATAGTTGGTCTCTTTGGAGTTTTTGATGGTGTGTATTTCTCTCTCTCTCTCTGCCATCCACATAACCTTTGGTTTCCTTGAAGAAATAATGTTATTGATGCATAGTAGACTATGTTTGCTAAATGTGAATAATTATAAGTTATATTTGTTTTTCAACATGAATGATTATGGCTTCACCATAGAAAGGTCAATTTTTGCACTTTTAATAGCCATTCTTTTTTTTTTTTTTTTGGTGTAGATGTTTCCCCAGTTTCATTTTGTTGAAGTATTATAATTGCAGTTAACAACTAGAGTAATTAGTTGGTACCATTCACATCCTCACATCACTATTCTTCCTTCCCATGTTGGTAAGTGTCAGTTAACAACGTAATGTTTTATGTGAATATCTAAATGTTTCTAAATATAAAATGTGTTGGTTGAACATTTCAACGCTTTCATTCATTCTTCATTTTTGGGGCTTGATTTGAAACCTTTTCTTTTTAATTTTCTGCCAGTAGTTCTATTATTGGCTACTTAAATAAGTGTAGACACCCAATTTTTGACCGTTTTCAAGACTTGGACGACACCGTTTGAACACTCGGTGATTATCCATGTTGGTTCGTTTGGAGTTCCCGGTGAGATGAGATGGTGCGCGCTGTGATGGATGTTCGTTCTGCGGTCTATGTTGCGCAGGGAGGCTTGCCCGGTCAGAGTCTCCGAGAACTTCGGCTGTTTTAGTGTGTCCTGGCTTGTTGCAGCAAACGTTGCTATTTTGCCTTGGATAGAGGCCAGCGATAGATGCTTGGTGTGAGGCGCATCCCCATCAGGGATCCACCATATACCGCGGGCGATTGGGTGCTAGTGAGGGCCACCGTGGCTTGGGTATTTGGGCTGCCAGTAGACCGCGGCAGATACGGTATAGGTTGTCGACGCGAGTGGGCCGCACTATTGTGGCTTAGCCAGGGTCAAGTCCACTACGTTGGTGAGTGCGGGTCGGTGTGTGTGTCCGGCACTACTTTGTTGTCAAAATGCATCTTTGGCTCGTCCGATGCTACTGTGCATTCTGCTCTTTGCAGTATTTTACATAGACAGTGTCTTCTTTTGGCTCCCCTCCATACACGTGTTGGAGGGATCTCCTCTTATGAAGCTTGTCTTTAAGCTTTTACAAGACAAATGAGTTTCATAAAGAGAGGGGCTCCTCTCTTGGTTGCATAGGGTTGACACTTGGGATTATTTTAGAGAGCTTTAGTGCCATTTTTTAGGGTTTGATTTTAGGTAGGGTTTTTGATACACATTTTCTTCTCTTTTTCCCTCTTGTGTGTGTTAAAGGTGTTTGTGTCTTACTATTGCCACAATACACCATTAGGTTTCACCTCCTATGCTAGCTTAGAGGTTTTAAAGGACTGGTTTTAGTGTTTTGGTGTTGAGATTTCATAGCGCAAAGTAGGGCCATCTGGAGCACCTTGTTGAACGAAGTCTTCAAGGGTAAAATTTTGACTTTAATATTCCCCTTTTTGCATTGATTCTACCTATCTAGAGCTGTTTTCGTGCTTTATGTATAACACAAAAAAGTTCTGTTTTTTAGTCCCTGTATTGTTTATGAAGAGTGTTTTGGTGTATTGAGGTGTTTTGAACCCATCTTTAGGCCTGCAAGGCCCCTTTTTGTGCTATTTTTGTGCTAGTTTCGAGACTTTGGTGATTGGGACTCTCTTCACCAACGAAAATCTTGAGGGAATTTCAGTGTGGAGTATGGTGCTTGAAGTCTTCCAAAACGGAGAGGGCAACCCCCTCTCTTGTTCGGTCCTTAAAAGTGACATTTTGGCCTTTGAGGGGAACCTAGCTAAAGTTCAATGTTGACCTGGCCTTAGCTGTTTTTTTTTGCTTAAATATATATATTATGCCTCTGTCTTTTTTGTTGGTTTGGTGCACAATGCTGGCTTAGCATAACCTACCAATCGTATGCATATATATTGACGCTAAAACAATCGCTAGAACAAAGGCTATCAACCCTAAGGCGATATTAATGGCAATATTATGGCATTAGACATGGTAGTTGTAAGCATAGCATTGTGCACCAAAAAACCACAAAAAACAGAGGCATAATATGAATATATTAAGCACAGAAAAACAGCTAAGGCAAGGTCCATCAGAAACTTGATGCTAGGTGCTCCCTCAAGAGCTCAAAAAAGGTCCTTTTTTAAGGACAACAATGGAGAGGGGGTGCCGATTCTGTTCTCTCTTTTGGAGACTTCAAGGCACCTACTTCCAGCCTACTTGTAATATCTGTTTTTTTTTTTTTTTTTGCTGTCTC